ACTGGTATGACGATCCCCTCGTGGGACTTCTCGGGCTCAACGATGGTGACGACCAGCTTTATTAGGATAACCCCCGACCAACAGTCCCGGATGGGAGGCCTTTGGAATAAAATTGTATGACATATGCACTCAACACTTGTTATTACGGTATTGACTCTCATTTATTACGGGAAAGCCCTTTGACTTCCGGAATTGGGAAATACAGATACATTTTAAAGTGAGCGGACACGGCAAGGACCTGTTCGGTGACGGAATGGCCTTTTGGTACATCAGAGACCCTCTTAAGCCGGGTATTCTCATCGCTCTTATCACTTGATTTCTCAATTTGTCACTCATTTGTTCATATGATTCAACATTTCTATCTTGAATTTAGGCAATGTTTTTGGAAATTCTGACTTTTTTGTTGGTTTGGGAATATTTTTGGACACTTATGCCAATCAGAATGGGATCCATAGTCACGGTCACCCATACATCTCAGCGATGGTCAACAATGGCACCAATCATTACGACCACGACAGGGATGGCACACATTCAGAGATGGCCGGGTGTGAGTCGAAGTTCAGAGGCTCCGATCACGACACATATCTGGCCATCAGGTATGAGAACGACATCCTCACTGTCAACACAATGATCGACGGAACGGGCGATTGGAAGGAATGCTTTACTGTGAAAGGGGTTCGACTGCCGACCGGCTATTACTTTGGAGTGACGGCCGCGACGGGAGATCTGAGTGACAATCACGACGTGATCTCAATCAAGTCATACGAACTGGAAGTGCCGTCAGTTATGAATCCACTGGAAGATCGGTCTAAGATTATTCCGTCCGCCTCTATATTCGCGCCGCCGCGCGACCACACGCCAGACCCGCCCCCACCCATGTCTGGCTTCAAGTTTTTCCTCGTTATCCTCTGTGCCATCATTGGAGTCATTGTCTGCGTTGTCGTCGGCATTATGGTCTTCCAGAAAAATCAACAGAACTCTCGAAAGAGGTTTTACTAATCCAGTGATTCAGCGATCACTTCATTAGACATAATATAGTAATTAAGACATTAATTTAGAGCTAATTATATGTTCAAACTATTGGTCTATTGATCTATTGTTTTCCAATTTTTTCATTTCATAAGTCATTCAAAATTTTATTTCCAAAACAGTAATTATTTTCTAATGAAATCTATTGTTTTTATTTACCGGTAGTCTAATAAAAAAACATTTTATTTTTATTTTTAAAACAAGTTTCTGAAAGCAATTTTTTGAATATATTTAATAATTTGTAAATAAAGGAAATGTTTTTACAGTTAATATAAAATGAATTGTGGTTTTCATGAATTAATTTATTTTGTCGACAACACGCCGCCGCGCGACCACACGCCAGACCCGCCCCCACCCATGTCTGGCTTCAAGTTTTTCCTCGTTATCCTCTGTGCCATCATTGGAGTCATTGTCTGCGTTGTCGTCGGCATTATGGTCTTCCAGAAGAATCAACAGAACTCTCGAAAGAGGTTTTACTAATTCAGTGATTCGGCGATCACTTCATTAGACATAATATAGTAATTAAGACATTAATTTAGAGCTAATTATATGTTCAAACTATTCATCTATTGATCTATTGTTTTCCAATTTTTTCTCCAAATTTTCATTTCATAAGTCATTCAAAATTTTATTTCCAAAACAGTAATTATTTTCTAATGAAATCTATTGTTTTTATTTACCGGTAGTCTAATAAAAAACATTTTATTTTTATTTTTTAAAACAAGTTTCTGAAAGCAATTTTTTGAATATATTTAATAATTTGTAAATAAAGGAAATGTTTTTACAGTTAATATAAAATGAATTGTGGTTTTCATGAATTAATTTATTTTGTCGACAACTCCTCCGATACGATCACAACTGAAAATATTAATGTTTTAGTGAATGAAACACTTTTTCATAAACTTTTATACCTTTTGTTAATGTCTTCTAATCTAATAAACAAATAAAGGGTTAAGTATTGTATCGATAAAAGACAGTCAATACAAGACTCACTGCATTTGGAACTGTTTGGTGGAAATCTGCAGTCTCTTGATGTTCTGCAATGTAATCATCAATTAATATACAATTCAATGATATTGTCGTCGTTTTGTATTTAACTAAAGCCGTGTTTTCAATGGTATTCTCAGTGGAGGCAAATGTTTTGGCGCTTTGGCCTAATATCTGAATTAGAGATCAATTGTTTAGTTTGGATACTATTTTATGATATTATATTAAATGCATCCAAATATTCATTACTTCACCCGTTTTGGACCCTTTGATGATTTGACGGCTCACTGCATGGGAATCAATGATACAGTAGTAGTATAGATGCAAATGACCACAAATAAGACAAAGTAATAGCAGACCTGATCCGGCGCTCTGTATATTAGCAGCAATTCGCTCACAAAGTCTTGTCTTTGACTCGGAATACAAATTCCTGGTCTGAGAGGAAGTCCTCTCACCACTCATTCCCGGATTGTCTTATTTGATGATTATATTTATATTCATATCATCACAATATATTATCATACAAATTAAATAT